CGACCACGTTAAAGTTCAGTAAACAATCGAAAACACTTTTCAATGTTCTGTGAGCAATTGAAGATATTTTTCAAAATTCAGTAAGATAATCGAAGATGTTTTTCAAAGTTTAATGAACAAATGAAGACTTGACAATTTGTTTACGGTGTGATGGGGCTCCCATGTGCATTCCGTTAGCCACGTTACTAATACAATTAAAGGTTTGTAACGGGTATTATGTTAGTGAGTATCATTCATTTTTTGATAAGTTTAGTCGTCAAAACTCGACATTTTAAACTTCAATGAGCAATTGAAGATACAAACATAAATTTAGTGACCATTGGGATATTAAACTCGACATAAACCGAGAGTCTATATAAACATTCATGTGACTGTTAGAAAAAAATCCCACCAACAAAAAAAAAAAATGTATATAAAAACCCCATCATAATTGCATTAAGCCCATGTTTGATATCCATTATTACATCAAAATAAGTTTTGTAATAGTGAATTTTTAAAGAATGTGGTTAAAATGTTGAAAAATGTTTTGAATTTAAATATAAAATATTTTATTGCGAAAATATATGATTGAAAATAAGTTTAACAAACGAAAATATAAATTTTGAAATAACAGAACCAAGTGGGAGCTAAAGTCTTTTTAAAAAAAAAAACTGCCAAAAGGACACTCTTTTTCCTTAAAACTTTCAGCCGCATAATTTCTTGTGCATATCTTCTATTGCTAATTAGTTTACAAATGACTTCTAACAAAATTTGTTCCTAACTTTAATAGAATTGTAAATCGATCCCCAACCAAGTATTTGTTTCAAACACAATCTTTGCTACTGAATAACAAACAAAATTGTTATGTAAATAGTGATTGCCAGTGGGTTGCGTCATCTTGGACTCGAAGTACTGTTATAGCTAGATTTCGATGAGAAGTCAATTTTGTTCACGTTTTCTGGTTTTAATAAATGCTTCGAGGTTCGCACTAAGACATCGGACATCTGCGAACGAAACCAAGTACCATTTGTTCCAAAAACCTCCAACACTTCTATTATAGTATCAATATCAAATTGCATAGTCGGTTAAGGAAGAGACGTAGAATTGAAATAGAATACTCTCTCACTCGATTCAGATTCAAAGTTATTTATATAAATACACCAAACCCTAATGAAAAAGTCCAATTTGTTTGAATTTATATTAGGGTTTTCTCTTCTTTTCTTCTCAGGCCTGCTGCAATGGCTATCAAGCAAACCTATTATGCTCCGACAGACCTGAAATATTATTATTCACAAGTTAATGATGATGAATACTTTAAAAATATTTTTCCTGATTATGTTTGTTAAACAATCCAAAG